AGGCCAGTAAATCTGGTCTTTTTTTTGTGAGTTAGAATTATGTTCTACATCCTTCCCCAGCTCTGTCCAGAACCCTCTGTTGTGATCCTGGTCAGAGTGGTCAGTGGTGGTAGCCAGGCACCATCTAGCTGTACTGGACTCAGTCCGGTGGAGGCCTTGGTAGCTGTGGACAATTAGTCCTTTGGACTAATCAAGATTTTTCAGTTTTTGATAAAGCCAGTAAGTTACTATAAATGATCCAGCCTCAATTTTTAAGTTGCATGAAATTATACATGTATATAACAAAGCTTATCATATACAAATAAAATAAATCTATTGGTAGTCTATTAAGCTAATGGCAATAATGTGTACTAGTACTATTCTACTCTATAATCATTAGGTATAAGCGGTAAAGGAGATCAAAGGGTCTAGGGACAGCCTTGCTGACAAGCCTGAAAGCTCAGCCAATCTAGTCCTTTTCCAACACTCAAAGTTAAAACCTCTAGTCTGGAATGGGCCCACACAATGCAAGGAGATAGTTGGTCAGGATTTAGATCAGCCCTTACTTGAGTAATAGTCTAGGAACGTAGACACTTGGGGTTCGAAGTCATCAAATGAGTTGAAATTCAACTCAAAGAATCAGAAGGACAGAATGATGAACAGAGCTTTAATGGAGATGAAGTGGAGATGGGTAGTAAGCGGTAGGGGTAGGAGAAAATACCTAGGTAAATAAATCAGGATGCAGTTCTGAGACTATAGGATTGTGACACAGTGATGCTACACTCAGAGAGGAAGCTAGGAGAAAAAGAGGAAGAAGAAAAATCCCTTAAAAGGGAAATAAAAACATTAGGTTTCCTAGCAATCTTTTCCTCTTCTTTTTCCAGCTAGTGCCAAACTGATCCACAGGCAGAGAAGACTGGCTAATCGGTGTGATAAAACAATCTCCTGCCTATTCCCTTGTCCCCTATTTCCAATTCCACTAATGGAAGGTAAACAACGAAAACTAGACATCATTCATCCCTTATAGTGGTACTAATCAAATTATTTTCCTGACACCAGGTTGAGATACATTATGGGTGAGTTTTGATTGGAGAGAGGATAACATAACAATGACACTTTATTCACAGACAATATTTAAAAAGAATTCTAACTCACTCTAAGTGTTTAACAAGTATTAACTCATTTAATCTCTTCAACAACCCTCTAAGGTGGGCAATAATTATCTCCAATTTATAGATGAATAGTTTACACTTAAACAACTTGGCCAATGCCACTCAACTAATAGGTTTAGGAGAATCAGTACTATAATTCAAGTCTGCATGACCCTAAAGCACCATTAACCACTAAAGCAATGGGTCTCAACCACGGCTGTGCAACAGAATTATTTATGGGGCTTTTGAAAAAATAAATATTTCCAAATTAGAATTTCCAGGGTAGGGTTGATATCTAGGCATCTGTATATCTAAAAAGCTTCAAGTGTGACTCTACAATACAGCGAGGTTGCAAACCACTGGAAAGATTAGATGGAATGCCTAGGTAGAAGATGGGGAAAGAAGTCAGGCCAGATAAGGGGTAAACAGAAAGAATCATTCAAAATGTGGTCAGTCAAGACTACTATCGTAGACTAGAAGTAACAAAGAGAAGTCTTACACGAGAGAAGGCTGCACTATCTTGAGGAAGGATAAAAATCAGTGAAACTCATAAACACATTCAATAGGCAAACCAACAGAAAGGAGCAGAACAGCAAACTTTCCTCTCCTCCTCTAAGAATTCCCCAGCAGTGTAAGGTACTAAAGAACACAAGTTATGAAGTTAGACAAACCTGGGTTCAAAATCCAGCTCTACTATTTGGTAACTGTGTGACTGCTTAACTTTTCTGAATTTCTCTCTTCATCTGTATAATGAAGATGGTACTACTCTTATAGAGTTCTTATAAGAATTATGTAAAATGTTTATATGCACTTAGTATAGTGTCTAGAATATTGTAAGCACTCAGTAGTACAGATATTATTATAAAACTACTATTTTTGTCATGCCAGAGGGAGGAATCAGTCATGTTTTTCTTGCCACCAGCTTTGACTATCCTCAAATTAAAAACTTCTGCACGACATATCTTAAAATATACTTTTAATCACACTAGTAAATATCAAAGCAAAACAAATCCGTTGCCACTGAGCTGATTCCGACTCATAGTGACCCTACAGGACAGAGGAGAACTGCCCCATAAGGTTTCCAAGGAACGGCTGGTGGATTCGAACTGCCAACCTTTTGGTTAGCAGCTGAGCTCTTAACCACTAAGCCACCAGGACTCCTCGCTAGTAAACAGAGGAAGGAAAATTTAAAACAAAATACCGTTTCACATCCATCTGGCAATACCAACAACTGGTAAGAATGGGGAAATAGAAACTCCTCAATATTGCTAATGGAGTATCAACTGGTACAAGCACTCTGAAGAGCAACTAGCAACAGCTAGTAAAGTTGAAAATGTACATAAGCAACTATTCAGCAATTCCACTTCTGATTATATATCTGAGAGCAATGTTTCACAAACTGTAGACATGGATGGTGAAATTAATTTAACAGGTTATATGTGATCTGCATTTTAAAAAATGAGATAGAGCGCATCTCATAAGGTAATGGTAAGTAAACCTTGTTTCTTTTTTGTTTCACGTGTACATAATATGTGTTTATTGAGTTGAGGTATATAATTCTTATAGTTGAAAAGCTTGCAACACATTGCCTTAAAGAAATCCATGTGCCCAAGGTGACATGTACAATGATTTTTTTTTGGAGAACTGTAATGGCAAACAAATGGAAACAACGTAACAGCTTGTTATTAACAGAAAAATGAACTATATCTACATGTATCAAGGGACATTTCTTAAAAACAAACAAAAAGGCAATATACTTAATAACACAGCAAAACAACTCTATATATACATTTGGTAAAAGTATAAAAAGCAGGTTGGGGAGAATACATGCCAACTTCAGAATAGTGGCTGTGAATTCCACAAGAGCAAGGACTTTTTGTTTTATTCCTAATGTCTCTCCAGCATTTAGAACAGAGCCTAACACATAGCAGAACCTCAATAACACGTGTTGAATGACTAGTTTCTCTCTGGGGAGAAAAAGAGAGAAGAAAATGGTCTCAGGAAAGGGTTCAAAAAGGGGATTCAACTGTATCTGTAACTCGTGTTTACTGGACTTTGAAGGAGTAACAGGGACTTCTAGGAACATCTGCTTTACCTCTTGGTTTTTGTTTGGTTTAACTAAGATACACTGAAGTCCTTCAAATGTTAACATTTACTAAGAAATCAAAAGAAAACCAAATCAAGAACCAAAGAAAAGGAAACCAAGAAGTAAAAAAGGCATATAGTATTCTCTTAAAACTTAACTAGATTTACCTCTAGATTAAACAGGTTAAAAGCGTAGCTTTCTCCCTCATTCTCCTTATAGCCTACCACTTCACCTTTGAACAACCAGGTAACAAGTGTATACAGGCTTAATGATAACATCTAACATTTACAGAGGGATTATTACTAGCCAAGCATTGTTCTAAACACTTATATATGTATCAATTCCTTTAATCTTCACACCATCCCTTTAAAAAAAAGCTTATTTTTTTTTTGCTGTGAAGTTGATTCTGAGTCATAGTGACCCCATATGTTTCAGAGTAGATCTGTGCTCCATAGGGTTTTCAATGGCTTCTTTCGGAAGGAGATCACCAGGCGCTTCTTCCAAGGTGCCATGCCTCTGGGTGGATTCAGACTGCTAACCTTTTGGTTAGCAGCCAAGTGCTTAATCATTTGCACCACCCAAGGACTCCTTCATCTCTAAAAGGTAGGTAGTATTATTATCCCTGACTTATTGATGTGCAAACTGAGCCAAGACTAAGTCAACTGCTGAAGGCCAACAGCAAGTTGCATTGCATCATCTCTAGGTCTCAATTCCCTTAGCTAGGCTAGGGACAGGACGGAGGTATTACACTTAAGACACTTGACACCTACTAATCTAGCATCCCTCAATTTCCTTATCTGTATAATGGGCATATTAATATTTACTCAATGAAATAATGGCTACAAAGTAGTCACAGAGCCTGGCAAAAATGAGACACTCAGGAAATGGAAACTATTGTAATGATTACTACATTCCTCAAAACAGAGCAACATCTAGACTCTGCTCCACCTAACAAGGACCATACTCTCCCTTTTATGGAAAAGCCCAGATAGGTATATGAAACAATCAAATAAATAATTCTTCGAAGATAGTAGGGTATACTTTCTAAAAACAAAATCCAGACTTTTGAAAAAAATATATTAGAGATGTAAAAACAGCAACTCAAGCCAACCATCTGATAAAAGAGTAAGTCCAGCTTGATGCAACTGTAAAAACATAGTCAAGGGAAAATTCATAATTTTGTGGTTGGACTTTTGCATACTGAAAACAGGCAATTCAAAAATCTTACCTTCTTGGGTTCTGAGTAATTTGTAGAGTCCTGATGAAGCAGCCAACTACAGCTACATAAATACAACAGATGGTTATGTAAATACAGTATTTCCCAGAAGTATTATTATAAATACTATGTTTATATAGTCATCTTCCATAGATAGACTACTAAAGAGTATTTTATTCAGTCAAATTATTAAACTGACATGTATGTATAAATAGTGAACCTTATGAAAGTTCAAGTTGGTTTCCAAGAGAAATTTCAGTTCTCAACTAGTGTTGTGGGGAAGTCTTCTATCTACTCTGAGCACATGCTGGGTCTCCTCACAGCACTAACATAATCAGTTGATCTAAACTTATCAAAACAAAGTGCTATGACAATCATAAGACTGGTTCATCTTTGATATAATCAGAAAACTTGGCAAGCATTTTGTATCTTTTAAAACCAAACTAATTCCTAAATTAAAAAAATTCTAAGGCTTGGACAGGAAGTCATTCATATTAAAGTTTAGCTACTACCTTTTATGAAGCAATGCTGGTATCATGTTCATAGCAAAGAATCGTAAAACTGGTCATCTGGTTTAGTCCATTCAGAATTATCCCAAATAAAAAAGCTCCAAAGATTCTACTGTTCAGATCCTAAGCAACTTATTAGCCAAAAGTAACAAGAATTACTCAACTCAAAATTTGGGCAGAGTCCTTTGGTAAAAAAAATTGAAGAATAAAACCTGCAAGGTATTTTTCTATCTACCTACTGGACACATGGTCTAACATAGAACCTCCCCACTCCCCGAGGTTCCAGAAGTACAAGACAAAACAGTTACATGTAAACAATATTGAGAAAATTATATTCTCTTAGCAATTGATACCAGAATTATTCTTAGGGCAAGACCTACTTTTCTGAGGAATACTACTTTGATCCGATACTTAAGGTAGGGGGTAAGGCTTGAAAAAGATACTCAAATAACAAAATATCATCGCTAAACAGATATTCCAAAAAAGGGTAAACGCTGGAGACTAGAGGCCCTTTGTTTGATGAGCACGAAGACAGATTTGGTTATAAAATTTGGGAGAAGAATCTGGAGTAGATCCACATAAGAGAGATAAGAAATGTAAAGATTTGAGGAAAATCCAAAGAGAAAAAACTATATAGCAAGAGTGACTAGAAGCTATCGGAGGAAGGAAGAAAAAAAGAACTCTGGCTAGCAGCACAAGTAGCAGTGTATAACATGGCAACGTTCAAGTTATTTGCAGTGGGGCGTGGTACGTAAACTCTCTACCGCTACCAATCTTTAGTATATTCTACATTGCTCACTAATGCTTACATGTGAAGAGACTTTGTCCTCAAAGATGAGGCTAAACAGTCAGCTGTCCTCTGGAATGCACATGTTTATTGAATTATAGAATATTAAGCAACATATTGCACAGCTGGGGTTTAGTGAAGAAACATACTTCTTGTGACTCTCTCTCTGTAAAGGATAATTTAAGATACACAAACTACTTTTAACTTCCCAAATTATACTTTACAATCCAAGGCAGCCATCTCAAGGTTATCTATGGTAATGAGAAACAAGCACAGGAATACAACTTTCCAACAAATTTTTTTAAAAAGGCTAATCTTTGGGTAAGTTTTCTCCCATTTGGAGTTTGAAAATTCTCATTGATTACTGCTTTAAAAAATGATTACACATATTTATAGTTACAAATTTGATTCTGATAATCTGTGTTATTAATCAGAGCCAAAATGTAGAAATAATTTGTCTAACTCTATTTTACAAATGAGAAGAACTAGGGAAAAAGAATGATTTGCCCAAGGTTACAAAGCTGGTTCAGCAGTAAAGCTGAGAACAGGACCTAGATTTCTGTACTTGCAATCCAATTCTCCTACACATGCTATACTGTATACTTACAAATGAAGTAATGGAAAAATGGAAATCTAAAATCATAGGCTTTTAAGTACAACACACAGGCAGAGAGGTAGAGAAGACTGTCACAGAACAAAGCTAAAACTTCCTGCAGTGCCCTTTCTCCCTCAGCCTACAAGTCTCCCCTACTCGACATAATTTGTTCTCTGAACTGCTAAAGAGAAATGACAAGGAAGGAAAAATGGCAAGGAGGGAGGGAAGGAAAGGAACAGAGGGAAAGGCAGGCAAAAAATCTAATCTTTTCTTTTGGTTTGGGACTGAAAAGAACAGAAACGTGAACTTAACTACGATTTCTGCCAAAGCCAATCTCAGGTACTCAGGCTAAATAAAATATAAAAATGAACAGAGAAAAATAAAAGGATCTTTTAAAAAAGATTCAGAAGTTTAAAAAGGGTGACTCACTCACTATTCATTAGCTCCAAACTAGAAACTACCCAAATGCCCATCAACATTACAGTGGATAATCTACAACTACATATTAAAATGTGGCTGAATGTCATAAATAATGTTGAGCAAAAGAAACCAGACACAAGAGAATATACTATATGATTTCATATAAAAACAGGCAAAATTAATCCATACTGTTAAAAGTCAGAATAGTGGTGGGGATGGGGGAAGGAAGGGAAGAGTAGTGACTAGAAGGGAGCACGTGAGGAGGGTTTCTGAGGATCTGGTATAACGTTCCGTTTCTTGATCTCAGCTGCTGGTTATATGGGTGTGTTCAGTTTGTGAATATTCACATACAAAAAAGTATACCTATCATAATATACTTCAATACAAAGTTGAAAGACAGAAGAGAAAACAGGCCTCTAGTAAGACTTACTACTGAAAACAACAGACTCCGTTGGTGAGATATCTGAGGCTGTCAATTAAAAAATAAAAAATAAAAGCACTCTGAAAGTAAGTTCAAGGAGAGGAAAATCAATTACTGAACTAAACATTTCAATAGAGACAAAGAACAGCAGATTGGGTACCACAGGAAACTCAAATCAATAAATGAGATCACCTCAAGGAATTCTTTCAAAACATACAAACCCACCCACATCTACACCCGTCCTATCCTCTTACCTTTCTGTTATAATAGAGGACTCTGTTCTCTCACCTAAGATAAATCCCTTTTCTTGAGCTTTGGAGAGCATGCTTCAAAAGATTCTTATACTACTTACACATCTTCTCAGGAACCATATACTATTATCCTCTTTCTCCCATTTATGTTCAACCTCTCTCTTTAAATTGGAGTGTGACTTTTAAAGACACTCAAGTGTCTACCGTTAAAAATAAGTTTTCATGTGACTTAATCCCTCTAGCTGCCCACCTGCCCCTCTCCTCCCTTTGCAGTTAAACTCCTAGAAAAAACTGTTTATTCTCCAAACTATTGTTTGGCTATTTCACCAAAACAAACTCCTCCACGTCACTTAATCCAATGGACATTTTTAGCCCTGATCTAACTGCTCACAGCACCACTCAACACAACACTCCCTCCTCCTGAAACACTCTTCCCACTGGCTTTTCAAGATAGCACAAACTACTGGCTTTCCTCCTAAACTTAATTTTTCCATCCTTGTCTCTGTTGCAGGCTCATCCTCATCCACCAAGTCATTAAATATTGGCATTCCTCATGGCTTAGACCTAGGCTCTCTTTTCGTTTGATGCTCTCTCTCTAGGCACTCTTTCACATATTGGCAACTTTTACCACCATCCATCAAGGTAAACAGAAACCAAGAAGCTATTATTTGACAACTGTCTTTACCTCATCTCTCTCATACAAGTCCATCATCAAACCCTATGAATTATACTTCCTAAATATTGTCAAATCTGTCCACTTTTTTTCTATCACACCCCAGTCTCTAAGCTACCATCATCTTTCACTGCAATTATTGCATACTAGTCTCCTAATCTGTCCTCCCACGTGCATGCTGGCCTCCCTCCAATTCATTCTCCAAACTGTAAGCTATAAATTTCACCCTATCACTTCTGTACTAAAAGTTTTTCAATGACTTTCCACTGTTTTGGGGATCCCTGAATTGTCAGGTCCCTATCTATTTTCTCCTATCTCATTTCACTTCATGCTGCTCCTCTCCACACATTCTCTACTCCAACAAGTTCCTAGTTGCCATTCTCCCTTTCTCCAAATATATAAAGCAAATGCTACTTTCTCTACCTAAAAAATTATTCCCTCATCTTTTAGTCTAGTTACTACTCACAGCAACTCAAGCCTCAGTTCTTTAGTAGACTCCTTTGACTCCCCAGGTCAATTCTCCTATAGCACAGAGCATACAGCAGACCTCCAGTAAACAGTTGCTGAATAAATAAACTAAAAAAAAAAGCAGATGCAAATAATAAAAATTTTATGACAGAGTGTATCCAGAGAGTAAACATACACACAAAATTTCTGAAAGAGAAAACAAAGGTATTATAATCAAAGAAATAAGAAAGGGAATTTTCCGTGAGTTGAAGTCTTTTCAAACTTAACAAGCTCACTTAGTTATCTGGCAGGTTTAATTGCTGAAATCTCACACCTAGTAGCCTGAAACGGAATCTATCCAAGGAAAAGATAAATAAATAAAAATACTATAATGTAAGCCTCTAGACAGAAAACATGGATAATCCTCAAAGAAAAACAATCAACCAACCAAACTCACTGCTGTCAAGTCAATTCCAACTCATGGCGACCCCATACGTTAGAGTAGAACTGCTCCATGGGGTTTTCTTGGCTGCAATCTTTAAGGAAGCAGATTGCCAGGCCTTTCTTCCACAGCACTGCTGGGTGGGTTTGAACTGCCAACCTTTACGTTAGTAGACGAGCACGAACCGTCTGCAGCAGCCACAGACACCATCCTCAAAGGAAAGGGTATCAAACTGGTATTAGCCATCTCAACTGCAAAACTAAACCCTAAAGGACAATAGAGAATAAAGAGTTCTAAGAGGTAAAGGATAATAACTTAGAATTCTATAATCATCCAAACTATTATATATGTGTGGGGAGTGGAGGAGAGAGAAGACATTTTAGGACACACAAGGACTCAAAGTATACCACCCATACCCTCAGTATGAAAAAAAATTCAAGAAAAAATTCCAGCCACACAAACATCTATTCATCATGTTTTTAAAACTAAGTTCATTTCTATACGACTTGTCATTAGTTTAACTCTTTAATTTACATTTAGAGGAAAAAAATACACACACACACACATAAAGTAAAAGAACTTAGAAAATTGTCCAATTATCCAATTAGTAGGACAACACTTCTTTCACGTCTTAGAATCATCATCAAGATGATTAGAATCATCATAAAGAGCAAAGCAAATATGAAACATCAAAAAATGGAAATACCTCTCATAAGATTACAAGTTAAAAGTTATGCCTGTCCAATATATGATGCTGGACAAATTCTTTGCTTAATGCCTAGCTTTCCTCATTGATAAATACATGACCTTGATTACTTGCCAATGACCTTGTTCCAAGAAATTAAGTGAGAAGACTAAAGTTTTAGGAATATCTAGGTAAACATCATTACTAAATTAATACTGTAGTCTAAAATCATGCTGATAAATTCCCATTTAAAAATACTCATTCTCAATACAAAGTTGAAGATGATGATATATAAAATTACTACAAAAAGAACAACTTGTAAGAAAGAAATGAAATCAAATTTGTTTTATGAATTATTCTTAAAATAATGTAGCCCATTATGTAAAAGAAATGAGAGAAGATTAAGTCCTCTGATAACCACTGTTAAAATACAAGGAAAAAAAAAAACATTTAAATTAACTGACAAGTATCTTAAAAGTAGAACAAGGAAAGATGGTGGCACAAGTATAGCTAACAGACTTCTCTTCTACAAAGTGACCAAAATGAATTTAAAAAAAGAGTCAAAACAGGGAGAAAATGTCACCAAGATGAAATATCAGAACATCTATCAGTACCATCTAAATGATAGAGACAGAGATCGTGTTGGAAGATATTACAGAATAATTAAGCAAAATTATAGATATATAAATATAATTACACAAAATTGTGGAGAATATCTGAAGACTTGCACTAATATCTCCCAATTTAGCGAAACTAGAGCTGAAAGGAAGGGTTGAAAGAGACTGAACCCACTTTGGAGCTCCCTTTCCCACCCTGGTACAATAATAGTTTTTCCTTTGTTTTTCTGACATGGCTTTCTTAATAGTCTTGGACTCTGCTAAGAGGAGACTTCTCTAAACCAGAAAAATAAAATCTATAGATGGAAGTTAATAGCGGGAACATTCACATTCAGACATTTAAAAAAAAAGCAACTGCAAACACATAGCCTAAATTGACCTTCACTTATGTTGTTAGCCCCTTTCAGCAACATGCATTCTCTAGAGCACCCACCACTGCCTATTAACTGCATCCAGCCCATTTCATCCACTTTCCTGCAAGGACATCTGAGTTTGCATCATTTGGAATGAGGAAAATACCTGCGATTCTAACAGCCAGCCTACAGTTCCTAGGGCCTTATTCTAACCTGATTTCTCACTCACGTGGCCACCGCATCCCAAAGTAGAGAAACAAAATGATAGCTGTAGTAAGCTGAATAATGGCGCCCAAAGATATCAGGTCCCAGTCCTTGGAACCTGTCAATGTTACCTTATTTGGAGAAAAGGTCTTTGCAGATGTGATTAAATTAAGGACTTTGAGATGAGAAGATTATCCTGGATTAATGACGCTGATGGCCCTAAATACAATAAGAAGTATCCTTTTAAGAGAGAAGCATAGGGAGATCTGACATACGCAGAGGAGAAAAGTGATGTGAAAACTGAGCAGGGAGAGATCTGAAGATGCTGGCCCTGAAGAGAGATGAGGCCATAAGCCAAAGAATGCTGAGCCACCAGAAGCTGGAAAAGGCAAGGAAGTGATTCTCTCCTAAAGTGTCTGGAGTGAGCACGTTCCTGCTAACACCTTGATTTTGGCCCAGGGAAACAGATTTTGGACTTCTGGCCTCCAGAACTGTTAAGAGAATAAATGTATATTGTTCTAAGCCACTACATTTGTGATAATCTATTACAGCAGCCACCGGAAACCTATATAAAACTCAACAATCAAGTCCCCCTGCTGGGAAAGAAAATTCCTCAAATTGATGAAGATGGAAATCTGCAGTAATTTCAACAAGGATCAAGAGAAAACCAATGGAGACAACATTTCTTACCCACAACAGCCTAACAGAACCAGCTCCCAATCCTCTCTCTCAAAAAAGTGAATATTATAACTGAAATAATTCTACATCATCAGCCAGTCATGTTTAAATCCCAAGGGATAGGAATGACGTCCAAGTACTCTGAAAAGAGCCAAGAAGTATCTAGACCCACTATTTTGGGGGCAAACAACAGAGCAAACTTTACCCTTTAAATTGAAAACAGAAACAAAATTCATAGAACCACACAAAAATTCTGAAACAAAAAGCAACGAATGTTCATTTTTAAAAAGCACTCAAGAACATGATGTGAAAGATTTATCCTAGAGACAGAAGAAAACTAAGTAACAATTTACATAAGAAAATAAAACAAAACCCAGCCTGTGAAATGAGAGATGAAGAATAAAAACGTCATCACAAATCAAGGGAAAACATGCTACAACATGGATGAACTTCAAAGTGAAGTGAAGTAAGTCAATCACAAAAGGACAAACATTGCATGGTCTCACTTATATGAAATGACAAGAATGAGTAAATATACAGAGACCAATGGTTACTAGTGGTTACCAGGGACAGGAGAGACAAAGGAGAGAAGGAACCGTTCTCTGGGAAGTTGTGACTTTTTGCCAATGGTGATGGGAAAACTGGCATCAACTAACGGTAGTGGTCATAAACGTGACTAATGTAACTGACATCACCAAGCTATACACCAGAAAAAAGGATGAAAAGGCAAATATAGTGTTATATACAATTTTACAACAGCAGCTGCCCCCATCCCCCCCAAAAAGGGGGCTGCATTTGTGGATATTACTTAGGTACAACTAAACACCACATGGGATTGGACCTCTTGGTTCAAAGGTTTAGGGTCATGGCTTTGTGGGTTGATCCAGTGACTTGGCTTAACATTGCTTTTAGAGTTTCTCTTCTACCTCTGAGTTCAGTAAATAGCACTTTGGGTCTTAAAAGCTTGCTAGCAGCTACCTAAGGTACAATTGGTCTCTATATGCCTGAAGCAGTAGGAAGAAGGAGATCTAGAAATCAGAGAAGGAAATAGACTGCAGGTCTAACTACCTCTTTTGTCACGAGAGCAGACGAAATGGTTGGTGTCCAGCTACCCTTACTGAATGTTTTGATCAAAGACCCAAAAGATGGATCCTGATCAAAAGGAGAAAAAAATGTAGATCAGAATATGAAATTCTTATGGAAACCAGGCTTACTGGAGTCACTGAGACTACGGGAACCCCCAAATCTATTGTCCTAAGATAATCTTTAAACTCTGAACCGAAACTATCCCACAAAGTTATCTCTTTAAACAACAGTTTAGCTCAATTAATAAAGAATATCAGCCTTGAACACCGTGCTCTTTTTTAAACAATTACCTATATGAGATCTGATCGACAAGAGTAACTCCAAAGCACAGATGAGAACTTTAAGGGGCACAGAGAATAAAAGTTAATGGTGATGAAACAATATGGGTGGAGACAGTAAGAATGGTGACACAATATGAAGAATGTAACCAATAGCATTTAACTGTACACGGAGAAACTGTTGAAGGAGTTTACGTTTTGTTGTGTGTATTTTCATCAAACAAACAAAAAAAAAAAACTAAACCTGTTGCCACTGAGTCGATTTTGACTCCTAGCGACCCTATAAGACAGAGAACTGCCCCATAGATTTCCAAGGAGCAGCTGGTGGATTCGAACTGCTGACCTTTTGGTTAGCAGCCAAGCTCTTAATCACTACACCACCAGGGCTCCATATTTTCACCAGAAAGACAAAAAAAAGTAAAGAAAGAAAGAAGTATAGGGGATGTGGGGAAAAAAATAAATCAGGGGAACCAAACCTCCAACATAAAATGTGGTTTCAGACTGAGAACCTCACGGCCAAGATGGAGGCGCATGCAAAAACATCGCATAAGAAGGATAAAAAGAAAGAAAATAACACAAACAAAAAACTTCAATTCAACATGAGACTGCAAAACCAAACTCCAAAACACATGAAGAAAACTAAGCTAAGATGGACGGCCCCTGTCCCACCCCTCACCCCCTAAAAATTGTAGGAATTCACTCCAGAAGAAAAAAAATCTGAAAATAACTTCAAATGTGTTTGTTAAGGATTTTCCCAAAGTTAAAAGAAAGGAACAACA